TGCTTTGAATAATTCAACCAAATAGCAAATCTTTCCCACTGTTTAGAAATTATAAATTTCTTCAGATAGGTGAATAATTAGAGAATTTTCTCTTATTCGAATAAAAATTGGCAGGATCTATGTACCATATACCCTTTTTAAAAAATATTTATTTATTTATTTATTATAAGTAGGTATATATGACAGCAGAATGCATTTTGATTTTATTGCACACAATTGCAGCACAACTTTTCATTTCTCTGGTTGTTCACAATGTAGCATCGCACCATATGTGCAGTATTTATCTTATCCTCCAACTAAAGCATAATTAGGCAGACTGTAAATACTTCATAGCAGAGCATTATCTCCTGATCTCTGCAATATCACCAGCTCTTGAATCAAATGGAAAAAAAATAAAATAGCATAGACATTTGGGGCTTGCCTTTAAGATACAGAATAAAGCTTTTGGTTTAAGATTCTGAGAAATATTACAGAAGAAGTACAGTTTTTCTGGGGGAGAAAGGAAAAGATATTTTCTCATGGAAAAATTATTTTTCCTCATTCCATGACCTTCCTAGAAAGTTTCTGTAACATATAACAAGAAGTATTAGCATCTTGAATTTCTAGGAGAAACTAACAGTCTTACAAATAAATATGTGAATATGCTGATTGGACTTCTATGTGTCCATTTAAACAACCTGATACTATAGGTTATAATAAAAAATCCAAAAATAGACCAGCAATGACATTTTCCATGGCCATTCCATTTCATGTCCAGGAGTAGAGCAAAATCAGAACGTGGCAATATTTATAATAACCACAAGGTGGAGACAGACATCATATGATATGTGGTCTTTCATCACATAAAGAAAATGTGAAAATTCTCTAGATACATATCTACAACAAAAGAACAAGAGTTTTTTTCTGGTAAATTAACCATTAATTTTAATTCTAAATAATTCGAAATAAAGTATGTGATCTTATATTCAGGTATTTATAGTACATCAAATGTAAGCATTAAATGTCTATAAACTGCCAATAATAACTTTAAATCATGTTATGTGATATAATACAGCTGAGGTTTTTTTTAAACATGTAACATGGAATTACTGTTAAATGTAGAGTTAACTTTATATCTATAGAACTAATATCATTGTTTCCTAATTAATCTTATGTTTTTATATTTTGTCATGTTATTTATTTATTATTTAAACATTTATTTTTTAGTTGTAGATGGAAACAGTATCTTTATTTTATTTTTATGTAGTGCTGAGGATCGAACCCAGTGGCTCACTCATGTTTGGCAAGTGCTCTACCTCTGAGCCACAACCTCAGCCCCTACATTTTGTCATTTTAAATTATAGGAACAAACAAAACTATCATAAATATAACATAAAAAATAATAAATAATTACCCTGCATTCGAACAGTACTTTTTTATTAACATGTTTGATTTAAGCTTTTTGACATGAAGATTGGTAGTTGTAGCATAACATACAAAAATATAAAATTTCATGTGTCAATTTAAAAAATAAAAATAAATTGAAAAAATACAAGTTTCCATCTGCTAGTAAGTTGATCTTTGCCACAAAAAATAGTTTGCTTATGTATCTTAAGTGTGACCAAAAAAAGTGAAAGTTGAAAAAGAATTTTAATAGGTTACAGTATTATAATAATAGAAACCAAAAAGTACTAACTTGAATATTCTAATTGTTTTTCCTCCTTGCTTACTAGAAAATGGAACATTTAAGTTTAATAAATTAACATATTTTATTAAGAATTAATCAAATAGTCTGTAATGTGCTCCCTGAATGCTTTCTACTTTCTACTTTAGAAATATACTTTCTATGTTCTTTAACAAGTCTTCGGTGATGAGTTGTATAAATCAATTCTGGGCTATCTAGAATTTGTAATGGATAGTAAGGGTTTATTCCCAATTTTTTAAAAAATTCACTTTTTATTTAATAAAAACAAGCTGTTGAAAACAACAACAACAAAAAGTTTCTCAGTTGTATGATTTGCAAAAAATAAACTAGCTTATTTGCAAGTGGTATGACATCTAATGGAAATCAGTAGGGAATCACAAACTGCGCTTCAAAAGATACATCTAATATCATTTTCATAATAAGGCAATTCTAAAAATGTGCTCATTTTACCATTTCACCAAATGAATTAAAATATCAGTGCACACTGTCATATATTATCACTTGCAGGGAAGGCTAAAGTAGAAATGTTACAATAGAATACCATGCCACGTCACCATTCTATTGAAGTGGAACTTGGGAACATATTTCTCAGAACAAATGGTGAAATGAAGATACCATCTTTTGTAAAGATTTTCTTTTGAGAGTCCCTCAGTTTCTTGTCCTGATGATCTGCCATTCAGAAAGTGACAATGAATAATAACATTCTGACACCAGCATTTATTCGTTTCTTGTGTTCTCTCTGAGTCCTCTAGATAGATACATGCTCTAAAGAAATCCAAATGCCTGCTCTCTGGTTATCAGATCTTGTGAAAACTATGCCTTGGTTCATTTGGACATACACTGTGCATGCCTGAGACTACCTTAAGAAATTATTCTGATTCTACAAAAAATGTGTAATAAATTAGAAAAAGTCAAATGGTTTACTATTATTAGGGATGTAAATATCCCTAGCTTTATTTGGAACCAAGTGTCTAAATTATGCTGTGAATATGTGTGGTTTGGCAGAGTTCCTTAGAGGAGAGGTGCTCTTCCATGTTACTATGGAACATGCCACCGCACCAGAGGGAATGCTGTCATCCTTGCATAGTTTCTCCCAAGTGATTCTTAACATTGAACCTATACAACTGCTCAAGAGGAGGACTCCTTTCCCTTTTTCTGGCTTCTAATGAAGCTTCTTCTGGTGTGGAAGCCTTTACTTTATTTTACACTCACATAGGATTTGTAGGATTGATGCCAAGGATTTGGCAAGATTTTGATTCAATGATATAAAATCTATTAGAGTTCATGTGTATTTTTCAAGGGTCATGGAAATTTCAGCTGCACATTGTCAGCTACAACATACACATGTAACTCATAATTACTTTTTTCTGTTCTTTAATTACTTTGGTTTTACTATAATGTTCAAGGACTGAACTGTTTTATTTGCTGTTCAAGATAATGTAAATGTGAAATTTTGGTTATTTTATTATTTTATGATAATTTAATTTTGTGTTTTACCCTAACACTTTGTCTTATTAATATTGTACAAGCATAAAATACAGTGTCAATATAATTTCAGAGATATGAGGGGTTTTCAATAGTTAATACAACTAGGTACACATATCAGGTAATAAGAACAAATAATTTGGGGTATTAGGTTATTTGTTTGCATGTACAATGCACACATCTTGAGGTGCTCTCATTTTATATGTGCCTGCACATAATTACATACTTTTTTGAAACTGGCTGGTGAATGGAAGCAGCCCTAAATTTCACAATACTCCACAAAGTGGCACTCTGACTTTGCAAATGGTAAAATAAAATCAAGTGCAGAGTGGATGGCACCTCCACAATCCCTACTATAGCATCCTGTTTCTGTTGAACATAAAATCCATGACTGAGGCATTTTGCAAGCAATCATTTATGCAAAGTAGTGTTGGTAACAAGACCTATTTAGGTTTGAATGGTCCTTTTTCAACTTTTTAAACATTTTCAAAAGCCATTTTGATATGTTATTGTGAACCAAATTGATATTTGATATGTTAATTACTTGGCAAATTCTTTGCCTTAGCTGCTGTGCTGAATCTTTTCTTTGTTCCCACAATGATCTGTGATGCTTATGGTGACCTGTATTCGGCAGGGGCCCTCTGCATCACTCAGTACCATGTCTGCTATGCAGGGAATACTTTAAGCAAAATAATTCTATTGTCATTGTTACTGTTGTCACATTGAGGATTTCTGAGTCAAATGTGAGTTTATTCCATCTAAGCAACATACTTAGTGTCATAAAGAGAAATTCACTGATTGAGGATGGTCCCTGTGTCCTCTCTCAGGCTGATCGGACTGATGGCCATTGCATCTATTAAGTGGAGTTCTATAGTTATATATTATAACTATATATTAAGTTCCAGTTTAACTCCTCCCATTACAAGTACTGCATTGCCTCAGTATATTATTTTTAGAACTAGATGACTAGTATTCCCAAGTCAATATTATTTATTTGCAAGATGAGATAATCAGATATTAACTCTGAATGAATTAACATATATCTTAACATCACCTGGGAGGAATGGGTGGAAGTAGTATGTTGAAGAGGTTAGGATAGTTCACTGAGTGTCTTGTTTGATGGTCTCCCCATTCACATCCTCTTCTCTGAGGAGGAAGGAAAACATGATTCCAGGAGTCACTGATTAAATTCACCATTACAACAAATATGGCTTTCTGGAAAATTGAGTCAGCAGAATTTCAGCAAACATAGAAATTACTAGAGAGTTCAAAAGCCTCCAAACTTTGGAGACAGATAAACCTGAGCTCCAATTCTGATTTTGCCTTTTTTTAAGTTTTACTATGCATATGTTTGGAGATAAGTTACTTTGTCTTTCAAAGTTTCCATTTCCTCCTTTCCAACAAGAGAAATTTAAAGCCTTTTGAGGATTATTATGGTATGAAAAGCTTATACGTAGAATAATGCAATCAGTTGGTAAGTACTATTGTTTGGTTATGGTCAAGTTGGTGATGGTGGGTGTGGAGGTGGAAGAAGATGAAGAAGAAGAGATGAAGTGGAAGAAAATTGCTAAGTGGAAACCAGAGCCATATGCAGAGCTGTAAGTAGATAGGCCATGTAAATACAAGATACAAATCCATTTATAAGAATGCATTCAAATTTGTGCATCAGGTATCCATTCTTTTCCCCATGTTGAGACTCATTCATAGTCAGGAGCTGAGCTATCAACCTTCAGAAATACATCATTGAACCCAGGGTGCTTCTTATTGACCATATAAACAGCACAGACCAGATTTTGTACTGCACCTACTCCACAGAGGCATCCATTTCTGCTGCTGTTGTGTACCTTTTATTGTGAGGAGTCCAGAGAGACTCTTATGATTCCATTGCCTTCTTAAATGGCCTGTGATTTGCCCTTTTAATGAAACCTGAAATACCTCATTGCTGCCCTGCAGAGCCAAGCTGGGGACAGATTTAGAGTTGAGTGCAGAGAAGAGTCGTATATGTGTGTACTCATCTGAGAACAATTTTACAGCTGTTGCTATGACCATTATGGTGGGTTGGACATGGATGTGATCATTTGGAGTCCCTCTTGTTTCATTTTGGGGTGTAGTGATGTTGAAATTCCTTTTCTGAATTTGATCTTCTGCAGCAGTTTGTCTAGTTAATGTTATTACCTTGTTTTCTCTCTTCTAAGGAAGATGTATCATCTCCCACTTCCCTTGTTCATCAGCCATTTAAAAACCATTCTGATTGGATATTTTTCTGCCTCTTTTTCTTTTCCCCAACAAAGCTCCCAGGCATTTATGGATAAGTCTTCTGACTTCTTAGTTGCAGACACAGTATATTCACACTAAATTTGTGGTTAAAGTGGTGAGAAAAAGCATGTTGGGAAAACCTGATGAGCTTCTTTTGTTTTTAGTGACTCTTTGGTCACAGACTTTTAAAAATTCAGGTGAACTCAGGGTTAGCCAAGGTTCTGAAATTTCAAAGAGTGAAACTATTAATACTGCACAGTTATGGGACATTAAATGAATTTAGCCAACTTGGATACTATGGTAAGAAACAGTTTTCATAATCCATGATTCTGTTCAATCCTGCCTACTCAAAACTCAAAAGTGCACCATAGCATAGAATATTTCTGGAATCCTGTTGAAAAACAAAATCTGAGATGCCACTGCAAATCTGCTGAATCACAGTATGCACTCAATTAGGTCCTCAAATAACTCTTATGCCCATTAAAGTTTGAGAACCACTGTGCTAGACAATACTGGATAGTTCGTATAGAATAACAACTATCACAAATAGTTTTAGATCAGTATTGGAAATTGAAGACAGGCAGGTGCAGTGGTGCATGCCTATAATTTCAGTTGCTCAGGAGGTTTAGGCAGGAGGATCACAAGTTCAAAGCTAGCTTCAGCAAAAGCAGGATGCTAAGCAACTTAGTGAGACCCTGCTCTAAACAAATACAAAACAGGGTTAGAGATGTGGCTCAGTGGTTGAGGGCCTCTGAGTTCAATCCCTGCTACCCTTACTCCCCACTCCCCCCCCAAAAAAAAAAGAGAAAAGAAAATGAAGACAAATTCAATATAGTATCATTATGGTCCTTTGTAAATAATTTGTAAAGAGACCAGCAGAGTGGGCTTTGATTTGGTCTTTGATCATGTTGCTTTTCACTTTGGCATTCCTGTATATGATGTACACATTTCTAAATGCAAATGAATAGAAGAAGATTCCTGTAGTTTCCTAACTATTGTCTTTAATAACCAATACATCTCCTTACATTTTCTGCCTTGATCTTCCTATACAGTCCTGTTTGTCTCTTGCAACTTGGATATTCCCTACCACTTTCTTTCTCATCTCCCACTCATTTGACACTTAATGTTTGTCACCATGCAATGGCATTTATCTTATATAACTGTTTTATTTCCTCCAAAAAGATTATAGTGTGTCTTGTAGTGTTTTGAACATAGTCTTAGTTGGTAAACATTAAAAGATCATGTATTTAGATTAGTAAGAATTTGATAGCATTGATTTTAATATTCCTGCAAAAAAATAGAAAAGTATAGCCATATATATTAAAATTAATTGGCAAAACAATGTGATCACTGTGTGAAATACAAAGGCATTTATATAATACACTGAACTAGAAAAGTGAATTTTGTTTGGAGGCAAAAAATCTAGTTTTCAACTGAATCTGGGTCACTGAGAAACATGGTTCACTTGATATAATCCTATTAAAGCCATTAGCCTAACAGTTACTATTTTTATGTTTCCATATTCAAGGGATGATATTATTATAATTGATAAGCTATTGAACTTATCTTCCTAGATTTGAGAAATAGTATAATACAGTGCTTGATAAATTAATTTAGAATCCAGAGTTTAGTTCTGTTTTGTCGCTTACAAATTGTGTAACTTGGGCTATGCTATTTAACTTCTTCATCTCTGTTTTTTCCTTTATAAAATGTGAAGAATAATGAAAACTTCATCCTCTTATGAGGAAAATTGATTGAGTTAATACATATTAAATACTAAGTTCCATGCTTGGCATATAGTAGGTGATAGGGCATAGTATAAAACTATGAATATAGATGTGGTCTTTACTTTTATCTAATAGAGTTTAATAGAAGTAACAAGAAATTATAGTAGAGTGATAATGGCTCTAACAAGAAATAATGATCTATGGAAGAACATAAAGGAAGCACCTATGTAGGCTTGATGCTCTGCTGATGAGAAGTAGGAGTGGGGGGACTTTTTTTTTCCCCCAGAGAAAGTTAAGTCAAATCTGAGACCCAACCAATAGGGAGAAATTAATATGGAAAAATATTTGGTAGGCATTCCTATATGTAAATAGTTCTTGTGCTCTGTGACCAATAACTATTCAAATTATAATGAAATGTTATCAGTCTCTAAGAGGGTTCTGTTGGTGATATAAACTCAGAATTAACCATATTTGTAACAGATAATAAGGAAAAGATTGAAATCCATTTACAAAAAGCAAATGGATTCGAGTAATTGAAGTTTTGAAGTTTGTGATATTTGTTTGTTATTGAATCAGTACACCTGTAGGCATGAACCTAATGAATTTCCACAAATATGCTAAACATGGACAGAATTGTAGACTTTCCATGAACACTATAAAAGATCAATTTATTATCATGTGTTTTAAGATTTAAATAGGTAAACATTAAGAATTCAAGCAGTCAAAATGCAAGCATTTGTTCATTGACTTCTCAGTGTAAACTACTACATTTTAATCTAAAGTATATTGGGTATGAAATAGACAATGACAAATCCCATTCTAATACAGCAGTAAAAATAAGTAAAATTTATTTACAAAAATAAAAATATATGGATTCAATCTTGTAATATTAGTGTGACTATTTATGCCAATTGAAATGAGGACTTACAATCAGTAAGAATTACAAGTCAATATTGCTATACAAAATCACTTAAGAAAATTTAATATAAACATGTTTGTCTACACTATTCTTAATACTAATTTCAAATATCTACTTCTCTTTTATTGACCTACTTATTTAAAGAAAATAAAACTCAAACAAAAATTTAACTAAAAATTTGGACCCTTTTCCTTTCTTTAATTTTTGTTATTGTCTCTTGTTGAATATCAGTTACCTCTTTTGAAAAATAAGTAACACTAGAATGCTTTTCCTCTTGGCTGGATGACATACTGTTTTTCATGTATTTTCATTTCTTTGAAATAAACATTTAAAAATAAAAAACAACTTTACACTTTTGAGTATGGAATAATATTTAATGAGATCCAATTCTTGACTGTTTCACCAAAAAAAGAGAGATTTGTATACACTTGTCAATATCTAGTAAGTAAACAGCACCAGTTAATAATTTAATCATCCCTTACCTACCCCTCCCCCCAAAAAAAGGGTTGAAAAAGAGGTGCTCCCAGTTGATGCACTTGAAGTTAAATGACAATAGTTATATAGTTCAGAAATAGTAGCATTTGAATTGAGAACTTTTAACTTAAAACTCAGTTCCTCTTTATTCTATACTCTGTGATAAATTCCATCTTTAATATTTTATTCTTAAAAATGACTAATCAAGCATTAATTAGCCTTATAACATTCATATAAAATTCACATTCTAATGTGATTTCTGAGCAGAACTAAGCAAACACTGACTCACTGTGCAGTACTCCTGTGACAAAGGGACTTGTTTTCTTTACAGCTCCCCAGAATGGCTTTGCATTCTCTTATAATGTCAAGTTGCGATCACTCAAGAGGGCTGTATGTATGCTTGTTAAGAGCACAGTCTTTGAAATGAGTTCAAATCCAAGCTATGTGAGCATGAACAAGTTATTTATTATCTCTCTGCCTCAGTTATTCTGTTAAATGAGGATAATAATATTAATACGTACCTTGTAGGATGGCTATAAAGATAGAAATAGAGAAGGATTCATTAGTAGATTATCTGACCTATAGAGGCATAGACATCAATGATTAGTTTGTTCAAATAAAAATAGATTAGCAAAAAGCTAGGTTATGATTCATAAGCATATTTAATCTGATAAAAATAGCTGATCTCCCTGTAGCTTAGAACAGTTTCTGAATATTCATTATACAATAAACTTTTTAAGGCAATGAGCTATAGTGGTAGTTGGAAAAAATAGAGATGCATAGGGAAGGGACACACTGTTTTATGCATCTGCAGATAAATTTATTTGATAATAATAATATCAGAATGGAAAAACATGATTACCAACCAAAAAATCAATATTTCAAATGCTATGATTTTTATAGTTCATGATTTCTAAGTATCCCATTATAGAAGTGATTAATGCCACATAACATTTCTCTTTTGAGTTCAGAGGTGAGATGCTTATATTTGAGGCAAATGATATGATATGAATGATCAAGACTAACCAGCCTTTTCTTTATTTTCTTTCTTAACCATCTCCAGATTCCTCCAAAGTCCCTCAACCGTCTTCAGGTGTAAATGGTAACATGCAGCCTCCCAGCACTGCTGGCCAGCCCCCTGCCTCTGCCATCCCTTCTCCTAGTGCCAGCAAGCCCTGGCGCAGCAAGTCCATGAATGTCAAGCACAGTGCCACCTCTACCATGCTGACCGTGAAGCAGCCAAGCCCAGCCACCTCTCCCACACCATCCTCCGACAGACTGAAGCCACCTGTCTCGGAAGGGGTCAAAACTGCGCCTTCGGGTCAGAAATCCATGCTTGAAAAGTTCAAGCTGGTTAATGCTCGGACTGCTCTACGTCCACCACAGTCTTCGAGTTCAGGACCTAGTGATGGTGGGAAGGATGATGATGCCTTTTCTGAATCTGGTGAAATGGAAGGTTTTAACAGTGGCCTGAATAGTGGTGGCTCAACGAATAGCAGTCCCAAAGTGTCACCTAAATTGGCCCCTCCAAAAGCTGGAAGCAAAAATCTCAGCAATAAAAAGTCTTTGCTACAGCCAAAGGAAAAAGAGGAGAAGAACAGGGACAAAAATAAAGTTTGCACTGAAAAACCAGTCAAGGAAGAGAAGGATCAGGTGACGGAGACAACTCCTAAAAAGACCTCTAAAATTGCAAGCTTGATCCCAAAGGGCAGCAAGACGACAGCAGCCAAGAAGGAAAGCTTAATTCCATCTTCCAGTGGGATTCCAAAACCAGGCTCAAAGGTTCCAACAGCAAAGCAAACCATTTCACCTAGCAGCGCAGCAAGCAAAGAGTCTGAAAAATTCAGGACTACCAAGGGAAGCCCTTCCCAGTCCTTACCTAAGCCCATAACCACTGAGAAAGCAAGTGCATCCAATTGCCCTGCTCCTCTGGAAGGGAGGGAAGCTGGCCATGCTTCTCCTTCCAATTCCTGTACTGTGCCAGTGGTGCAAAGCAGTGGGCAGAGCACAGGAAATGGTGCTGTCCATCTCCCTCAGCAGCAGCAACACAGTCACCCAAACACTGCCACAGTGGCTCCATTCATTTACAGGTAAGATGGCCTCAGTAGGTCCATATTTATAGTTCTTCATAGTCCGAGTGCATGGCATCAAGAAGTCTGCTGCAGTACTGTCTTAGATAGTCATTTTGGAATAAGGTTTCATTTTGAAGCTAGAGTTAAATATGGAATTTTAGTCTGGAAAAACTTCCAATGTGATCTAGTCTTATTATTTCTCCTCTCCCAACCTTCCACCTCCATCTCTCAGAAACTAAGGGCTTCAAAACTTGAATTCCTTGTTGTTAAAGGAAAATAGAACCCAGGCTCCATAGGTTTCTTCTCCCTTCAATATTATACTACTGTATTACTACTATAACTTTTTTAGAATAATGTCAGTTTTATGGCAATTAAAAACATTTTTGTTGTTGTACTTGGAAGAAAGTATACCATAATGGTTAAAGAGGCAGACCTGGAAGCACCATAGATGTGGATTTAATGCCCAACTGTACCATTTGCCAGCTTCTTGACCTTGATCTACTTGACCTTATTTAACATCTCTTAGTCTCATTTTGTTCAGGTGTCAAATACAAATAAGAGTTTACCTTGTAAATGGGAGAATATTAAAAGAGACAGTGTTCACTCTATATCCTGGAATATTTTAAATGTTCCTTAAATGTTGTCTGTAAGGCATTATTTTTCCAAAGTAGATTTTATATTAATTTCCAACACGAGGCATAAGTTTCTTGGTAAAATTAAGTAGCTGTGTAATTAGTATATGCATACTTTGTTATCACATTTATTTATTGTTGGGTACAGAGCAGGCTGAACTGTGTTGTCTGCAGGACAGGCTGAACAGATGTTGGCTGCAAGATAGCCCACGCACTCAAACCCCCCTCTATCTGGTCCTTTATCACCTGTTTGTGTCAAGTCCCGCTCAAGGCTGAGCACTCAACCCCCCTTGGGCCAACAAGGCAGCTTGCAGACCCAGAGGCCCCATTAGATTTGGGCTATAAAAACTCCCTCCTGCCAGGCCCCCCCCCTCTCTTGCTCTCTTTCTCTTGCTCTTTCTCTCTTGCTCTCTCTCTCTCTCTCTCTCTCTCTCTCTCTCTCTCTCTCTCTCTCTCTCTCTCTTGCTCTTTATCTTTCTTGCGTGCGATCTCTGTCTCTCTCTTGCTCTTGCTCTCTCCCTGTTCATCTCTTCTCTTTTCTCTCTTTTTCCTTCCTTCTTTTCTCTTTGTTGCACTGCTGCAATAAAGATCTTTTGGTTGCTCCGAGTGTTGTGGTCACTTTCCTTTCATTTATCCTATTTTTTATTTTATTCTATATGTAGTAATGTACCATATATGCTATATCTAAATATAGGCATCATAATACACAGTCATAGAAGTAGTGCACATTGCCTATTTTGTGTGATATGCTTCAGTCCATTAGAAATCTGTCAGTCATTGCTCTGTCCCCTAATGTTATTCACTGCCTGGCTGGTAAGGACCTGACAAAGGAAGAAATGATTTCTACTTTATTTTGTATCCTTTTGCCACATTGGCAATTTAAAAATAGGAAGGAAATTTTATCAATAGGAAACAGGACCTGCTATAATTAGTCTAGAGTCTAGACTATGTAGTTATAAAATTTATAAAAATTTATTCAATGTGTAATTTTTTTAAAAAATAAAACCAATTATTATAATGATTCATTTTCCTTCCGTGAAGAACCTGTTTTTCTCTAGAGCTTTATATACTCAGCAAAACAAAATTATAATTATTCCATTTAGTCTCTTGGGATACCTCCATCAATCTTGCTGTTCTCTCTTCAGCAAAAAAAAGCCTTTGTATTTGGATAAGAAGAGTCTGGAGACTTTTCAGATTCCAAGGGCCCTGTCTGACAAAGCAGAATTTAGATATCAAAAACATAATCCACATTTCAATAACATAAGACAAAATTATCAAGTCTTAAGTTTGTCACACACAGCACATTTGTGTCCCAGATATATTCTGTAAATACATCCATAATTTTTAAAAAATCACAAATTATTTTCACAGGAAAGTACAAATCTGTATCTGCCATCTGTATCTTGTTTTGATTCTGATAAAATATCCAGTGGTTTTACAAATTAAATAGTGTCCATTTGAAAATTTAGTTTTTTTTAATTTAACAAGTTTAATCCTTATTAACATCTCAGATAAGTTCTATGTTGCTATTAACTTTAGTAACGTAAGAAATAGAGCTCTAATCCTTTTGTAATTTAATTTTTATTCATAGTTAAATTTGTATGTATTTACCATAATATCATTATGTTTTTGGTGGGTGTACACACACACACTATAGGAATGACTAAATATGACTAATTAGCATATGAGTTTCTCACATAGGTTTCATTTTTGTGGTGAGAACACTTTTTAAAATCCATTCTCTTAGCATTTTTTGAGAAATATTCTCTTATTAACTTGAGTCACCGTGTTGTACAGTAGAGCCTTTAAATTTAGTCCTGCTCACTGAAATTTTGTATTCTTCTATCTGTGAATCTCCAAACCTGACCCCAAAGCACCCAACCCTTGGTAACTGACCATTTGCTCTCTACTTCTGTGAGGTTTATTTTAGGTTCCACATTTACGTGAGATCCTGTGCTATTAGTCTGTCTAAGTCTGGCTTATTTCACTTAACATAATGTCTTCCAGCTTCCTACATGGTGTCACAAATGGTAGGATTGCTTTCTCTTTTATTATTAAGTAATATTTCATTGTGTGCATATATGTATTATATGTATATATACATTTATATCTCACTGAAAATATAACTTTTCAGTATTAAAAGGAAAACGTAGCATGACTTAGAAGTGTAAGTGTGGATCCACTGTGTGACCTTGACAAGTTCTTTATCCACTTTGAGTTTTAGATTGCCTATTTTAAAATGAAGATTATAAAAGGGAAATGATGTATCCAAGCAGCCAAGAGTATAGACTGTGTCCTTCTTTACCATTGTATAGGAAGACCATCTTGTGGTGTTTGTGAAAATGGCCCTGCAGCATGCTGCCTGGATTAGAATCTCAGTCACCAAGGACCAATTATGTGATCTTTTCCTTATTTAAAGATTTTGAAATTCACTTCTCCCATCTGTAAAATGGAGGTTTTTAACACTGTCACCTAGCTAACAGCCTTCCCCAAACTCCAGATTCTAATCTTGTAAGCTATGATTAATAAAATGCCTACCTTAGTCAATTGTTGTATAGCTTAAATAAAATAATCCTACATAAAGCTTTTTAGCAGAGAGCCATATTTGGAGTAAATGACAGAAATGTAAGTAACATATTGTTATCAATCTATATGAGACAATGATTAAAATCCCTGACCAGAATAATTTTATGAATGATAAATTAAGTCCTCTTAAGGCAGAGTGATTAATATTCATTATTTTTAATGGTCAGTTAAAGATTTGTATTATAAAGTCATATAAATAAATGATGTGACCCCTGAAGTCCTTGCTCACTCTCACTGTTCCTACTCTAGGTAAGAATCCCTCCTGCAAAAATAGCTTGCTAATGGTTTTATAGTGGAATTTTCATTTGCTGATTGCTTACCTAGTGAAACTGTGTGTTACAAGATCAGTGCTTATTTAAACTTGACCATAACCCATGAGAAAGGAATGTTAACTCCATTTTCCATGGAGAAACAGATTTGAAGTCTGAATAGTAATACCGTGTCAAGTCATAGTACTTGTGGGAGTTTACTTTCGAACTGAAATCTAACTCCCAAAATATTCCTTTTTATCAGTCTATGACATGCCCTCTTTTATGTATCAGTATTTTCTATATGTAGAGAAATAAGAGGTTTTGTTACCAGGAAATGTTTAACTAGGAAAATGTCAACAGTACATTTGCAAAATTCTAAATCAAAGCTTATTTATAATGGCAAATTCTTAATTGTTATTAAGTAATGTGAGTTTAAAATACATACATGTGAATTTGTGTGTCTAAATATATATACATGCTTATGTTTAAAAGCTAACTAAATCACCTCTATATGCTGGTAAGCTTGATTAGCTGATGGTGATTTTTTCTTACTTTGCTTACCCCACTTCTTGGTCATGCTAGGTTAATCCTTATTCCTTCTTGGACATGCTTCATAATACATTTTCTTGCAAACTGAGTATTTAAAGTCCTCTAAATATAATGTTGGGTTCTGGCAGTTAATAGATTCATAAGACTAACTTCTCGTCCAATGCACAGTATTTTACATAATGTTTTTGGAGCTCAATTATCCTTACAAAATGATAAAAGTCATTTTGAATTTGTTATCCTTATCCACTAAACGAGCAGAAGCAACTAAGATCAAAGGTGGAGAATTGAGGGAAGGATTTTAAGTTTAATATAAGAAGTTCTCAATAATTAGAGTCATTTGAAATTGGAATAGGCTGCCTTTTTCAAGTGTTAAGGTGTTCATTGGAAGTATTTAAGAAGTTGTCATAGTTTAGACAACTGGAAATCACCAAATACTTTTCCGCTTATGTGGCTTTCTCTCATTCAGCAGCTAATGGGTAATAGAGATGTAAAGATTAATAAAAATTGCTCTGCCCTCTGGGAGCTCAGTCTATTGGGGATAACAGTGATAACATAATCAAAGATATGAACCCATTGCTTATCTGGAAGTATAGACAACATATAGAATTATTGTAGAAGGAAGAGGAGGGTTTAAAAAAAATTCTTATGTGGGAGTACAGCCCATCAATGCCTCACAGAGAAGTTAAAATAAGAGGTGAGACATACACATGAAAGGGAAAATGATAGGCCATCATGCAGATTTGCTGTTCTGCAATTTTATGATCCAGGCATGATGGGAAAAAAAATATTTATTCTTTTATGAAGTGCTACAAACTGCTGGAGACTAGGGTTTAGAACTCATGACCTTCTAAATAGGAGACTAAAGAAGAAATTTTGGAAAGAAATCCATATTTTATTTCTATCTTCAATGAATCCCTCCCCACACATGCAGCTTTCAGCTAGTCCTATAAACATCCTCTCAACACATCTCCTCATCCTTTCCATTTCTATTCACCTCTCCTGGTTTAAGCCATGTATCCACCAATTCCCACCTAGTTTCCTGTGAGTCTCCCGGTTCTTACTCCAGAGCTAATAAAATAACACCCTTCACACAGTAGGCACTCTGACCTTCTAAAAATGAAAATCATATATAGACAAGCCCTGCCTTGTGATGGTTTGACTTGTAGGTTTTTTTTTTTTCCATTATGATGGTGTGAAAGTGAAACATACTCAGTAGAAATTGCTCTTCAAGGGGCTGAGGTGGTGGCTCAGTGGTAGAGCTCTTTCCTAGTACATGTGAAACACTGGGTTTGATTCTCAGCACCACATAAAAATAAACAAATAAAATAAATGCATGTTTTCCATTCATAACTCCAAAAATATTTTTTAAATTCCTCTTTAAAGTTTGAATTTTGTTCTTTTCCTGGGCTAGTTCTATGCAGGGATACTCTCCATGTGGGGCAGTGGCAGTGAGCCATAACTCCTGGGCAGCCATGGGATCATGAGGGTAAACAGCCAATACCCTGCAGTGTACTGTGTGGCTGTACTGTAGCGTTCAGTATATTACTATCTTAGGATATTTTCAGCTTACAATGGGCATCTAACAAGGTTCATTCCAATTCATGAAATCATCAGATTTTCCTGATTCTTTTTTTTTTTTTAAAGAGAGAGTGAGAGAGGAGAGAGAGAGAGAGAGAGAGAGAGAGAGAGAGAGAGAGAGAGAGAATTTTTAATATTTATTTTTTAGTTCTCGGCGGACACAACATCTTTGTTGGTATGTGGTGCTGGGGATCAAACACGGGCCGCATGCATGCCAGGCAAGCGCGCTACCGCTTGAGCCACATCCCCAGCCCCGATTTTCCTGATTCTTAAAAAATAAAACTCCAAAATCCTATCACGACCTATGAGGCCCTTTGTAATCCGATCTTTTATCAAACCTTCAAGCCACATGCATCCCCACTTCCCCTTTGTGTATTATATCTCAACTATCATTCTGTTCTGCAAACCTCCTTGCCCTGCTTCAGACCTTGTCATTGAAGTTTTCTCCACCTGCGACAACCGTCCTCCAGGTCACAGCAAGCTTTGTATGCTGTCTCTTCGTAGCAGCCACTTTTATCCATCTAGTCCAAGGAAGTATCTCCCATGTCCTTGCCAGCATTATATCTCACCATCCTCTGAGCTTATTACTATCCATTTCCTTGTTTCTATATTAACTGGTTTGATTTTAGCTACTTTCCATTCTACCATAAGCTCACTGAGAGCAGCAGTTTTGTCTTTCTTATTTATAAATACATAAGGGTGTAGGATAGAGGCTACCCACAGTGGGTACCAAATAAAAAATGTTTGAATGAAACATCATCATCTTGGATATGAGAATAGAAGAAACAAAAGAAAGTTAGGGTTAGGGTTAGAGGTAGATGTACAATAGAATAGGAAAAATTCTAAAGTCTGTTACTCCCTATAAATGGAGAGGCTCAGTTGAAATACAAATAAATTTAAAATATTTAAAGAATTAAATCTACCTTCTTGTCAGCACATTCATTCACCTAAAAAAGTTTTTTCTTCTTTCAATAACCACCTCCATGAAATGTCAAAGATAGAGGGAAACCTCATACATCCCAGGTGTCATTGTCCTTCCATTGTCCACAATGGCATAAATAAGAGGTTGGCTCAAAGAGCAGGAGGTGTGAAGCTCTTCAGGAGAGAACCATATTTGGTTGACCAAGATGTCAACAAGGTATAAAATTGCTTCTAGCTGTTGGAATCCTGGAAAGTGGCACTTGATCTGAGCCCAGAAAGAAAGTAGAATTTGGACATGTAGAGATAAAAGGGACAAGAAGGGAAA